CCCCAAAACCCCAAAACCCCAAAAGTGAATATTGATTTAGAATTAGATGTGAATTATAATTATTTAATTTGGTCCATCCATATATTCTCAATATATATAATGCATTCTACAATAAATAATCATACTGGCTTTTCATTTTTTAAATAAGTTTTTTCTCATGTCATCTAATCTTTATCTTCCACCTTTTTGCTGATCTTAAAAATTGGCTTTATCAGTAGCAGTTGATGTATCTATAGTTTAACTTTGAGTGTTTAAGTATTCCTAAGGGTTGTTGGTATTCCTAGTTTTAGCAGCTTTTAATTTCTCTAATTCCTCCAATTCATTATCATTATCATCATCTTCATCTGTAATTTCTTTTCCAAAATTACTTCCATTTTAATTCATTTCCTGATCTCGTCTTAGTTTTTCCAAAGCTATCTCGGCTTCTTTAGAGAATTCTGGATCTTGCATTTTCTAGTCCATCATCTTTTAAAATTCTGCGAACACATTTTCATCAATATTAAGTTCATCAGGATCTATCTCAACATCCTGATTAGGCAATCCTTCTACTTTGTTAAAATTCTGTCCTAGAGCTCCCTTCATGATATCTTCATTCGATTTACCCTAAGATACTTGCTAATCAATAAAATCATCCAAAGCCTTCTCAAAATTAGTGCCCTTTATCAGACTCTCCATTCTTTTCATTTAAGCTTGATTCATCTTAAAGAACTCCTCCATTTCTTTATCTTTCTTAGATTAGCCGCCACTTGGCTATCTAGGCATACCTCCTGCTTAGGCATTTTTCATATTTCTTGCGAATGTTCTTTGCATTTAACAAGTTAATTAAAATTAGCTTTTGACATTATGCTAGAAAAATCTAAAAGACTTTAAAGCCATCATTTTAATGTTTTTTCCTTTAATTACTAAAATAATAATATTAGATTAAATATTAGGAAACCAAATAATAATTTCACAAATTGTGCCACATTTAAGTGCCAAATTAAACGCTACTAGCCATTCTTAGCTTACTGCTTAGCATCTACGTAAAGCACAAAACTTTATAATTATTATATATAGCTATCAACTTATCTCATGACTCATTCATAGCCTTAGGCTATAGTCCGAGTTTAATAAGCGTGTTGCATTTATTTGCTATCATTACTGCTGTTGTTGACTGCCGCCTCCCACTGCAAATTTATGAATAACTCTGAGAGCTTATCTATCGATGTCAAATTTTTCTCTTCGTACTTCTTCTGATACTAATTCCATCTCGTCATTAATGCCCCCTATGTTCTTACCCCATCTATGCTTTTTAAAGTACATGTTTGATCCAAACTTTTTAGAGATAGATTTTTGAATTTGATCAGGTTCAGTTTGCTAGACCTGGTTGGCATTCATAATGAAATGCTTGCTTAACTAAATTTCTTTTCTGGCAGTTAGCTCCTGCTTGCTAAGTTGATAGTCTGGCGCCTTCTCATCAAATAAAGGCTGGAACTTTATCTGATTATTTTAAGCCTTGAATCTGATTTTTTCAATTACATACTTAGATTTTTCTAGTAGAATTTTAACCATGTCATACTAATGCTATGATATCTCCTCTTATAGCTACAATCTTAGTTCATTATAGAACAAGCCTGACATGTAATCAACGTATTCGAATGATTCAGTTTAGCATGCTTCATTCCAAGTCCTTTAATTTTAGATTCCAGTTGGTAAATTGTTAATTAACTCCTCTTCATTCACAATAAAATCTTCAAGCATGTTTCCTCTTATCAAAGTTTAAACATGCTGATCTTATTGCCCTCTCTCTCTAGGTGAAGAATATATTGACCCTCCAGTAACTTTATTTGGCCCATACTTAGACATCTTAGATTATGCATTATTGAAAGTGAGATATTGAGTACCTTGCATAGATTCCTCCTCAGCAATTTCATGAAGATTATCTCCACTAAAGACATTACCATTTGATTTAACATTATTAATGTCCTCATTATCATTGTCTAAAGCTTAACCTTAAGATCCTCTTTTAGTCCCAGTTCTGTTAATGAATCCTTGAGGGACGACTGTCTTTCTTGTTTCAGATCCCCCAGATTTTCTATTAGGTCCACTGGACGCATCTGCTCCTTTACTCTTGCTTATTTGTCCAGATCTTTCTTAACTTGCGGCTTTGCCCTTGCCTCCTTTTTTTATAGAGACACCAACACCTCCTACCTCTTCTCCAGAGTCTTCATCTTCATAAGATGAATTATTATTGCGGTCCCTCTACTGACCTGAACTTTTCTTATTTGGTGAACCTTTGACAGGACTTGATTTATTAATTCCAGGAAGATTGACTGACCCTTAACCAGTTGATTAGGTTTAATTATTCTTTCCTCCCTTCTAATTCAGGAGATTTACTTGGTCCATTTCATCACCTCTCTTTTTAGTTAATTATTCTAGTGTTGAGTTATTTACGCTTCTATCCTCTCCTCCAACACCTACTGGTCTCTAACGTTGATCTAGAGTAACGCCATCAGCAAATTTCTACACTGATTATGAAGGTGAAGAAGCATCTTTTTGAATGGAATTTTATCGTTGATTAACATCATACTAAGTAATTCTTCTTCCTAACTCTGTTCCCTAGGGACTAGCATTACTAGATCCTCCATCTCTTCTAGATTTCATAGGACTATCCCTACCTCTAAAGTCTAATGAGTCATCCAAATTACCTCTACTGCTTTAATTGATTGAGGAATTTATTTTGTTAATATTTGATGAGGACTGACCATTCATATTAAACTTGCTAACCTTCTGAGAGCCTTCACCTTCCTGATCGCTGTCAATCATGATACTTGGTGATGCCTTTGCAATTTTCTTTAGTCTCTTAGTCAGTTTATGCACTTACTTTTTGAATTCTATATTTTCTTCGGTAAGTTGTTTTACTTTGACAGTATTTACTTTATCACTTTCCTCCACTTTATTCAATTTTTTGAAAGATTGCTTAAGCTGCTATCTCAATTCCATATTTTCACTAGTAAGTGATTTTTATTGTTCCTTTTGATTGTCTAATGATTAGGCTAAATCATGCAATTCCTAGGTCATTTTCTTTCTTTCCTTGTGCAACTCATCTAGTTTCTATCTAGCTCTCTCAATCTCGTGAATAATTTTCTCTCTTTCATCCTCTTTTTCATCAACTATTTTTTGAAGCTAACTTATCTAGACCTCAAACTGCTATTTGATCTCATCAAATGTCATAGTCTGGCAAGATGTTTCATTTGACTGCTTTTTATAAATAGCCATAAGTCTTGACAGTATTTTTTTAGCAGTAGTTTACACAGCAAAGTTGTAATTTGAGTTTAATTTAGAATCCAGCTGCTGCCTAAATGTTGTAACAGGAATTGGGGCATTTTGCTGTTCTTACTCTTTATCATTTTGATGCATATAGAAATTTAGTCTCTCTTTGATAGTTTACTCATAATCATGATTGATATCTGTTAGATGCCTAGTACTCTCTGAAAATCTGTAAACCTCTAGTAAACTTTTGTCTAGTTGAACTGACCAATCATTTTAAAAAAGCTCTTGGATGTCCTTTATTACTGTAGCTCTGGTTGAGGCATCTAAATTTTTTGTGAAGTACTTATTCAGATCATTTTTAGACTAGAATTCCTCAAATTATTGCATTAGCTGAGCATAGTCATCTCTAATCTTTTGGACTTGTTCTTAGCTCTATTGATGGATAGATCTAATCTTCTATTAAAATTGCTAAAAGCAATCTTTGAATCCATTTTAAATGCGTTTAAGCACTGTTGTCATTTCTAGATTTTTTTCAGGAATAAGCTTTAGTATCTCCTTAAAAGCTGAATGAAACATAGAATAGTATTGAACAAGATAACGCTCCTAATCTTGTTGTTTAGCTCCATCTGAGTGTATTTCCTTCTTGAGATCCTCCATATACATTTCTTTATTGTCCAGCCACTTCTATATCTCTTTGAGGTCATTTGTGATCCTGAATTCCTTGAAGCCATTGGTTTTGGCAATACTGAATGTTTGGTTTAAAACCGTTGTGGAGTTTTTAATACTAGATGCATTTTAGCTTAAAAATCTAGGTCTATCCTTGAATAAACTATTTTCAAACTGCACATCGTTTGAGTGGTTCGTCATTGCAACTTTTTGGTTTCTTCTGAATTTTTCATATCTATTCAAAGATTTGCAAGATGTCCTGAAGATGAAATTGTGTGTCGCCTCGTCTTGCTTGAATGTTGAGGATATAGTCTCGAGAGGGGACTTTATGGACAAGTCATCAGTATTCATTGTGTAGTGTTTGACTTAATTAGTTGTTTTTATGTCTCTTGGGCCTTCATTGTTGGTCTCTCTGTTCAAAGTATTAAGTGACGCCATTATAGGCTCTATCTTCTTGGATTCCATTCGTCGTTTTCACTGCTATTCCAGATAATTAACACCTCTCTTGTCAAAGGATTTACTATAACTATTAAGGTTAGTTTTAAAACTAATCCTTATCCTTTAATGAAAAATACCCTTACGAATGTAAGTCAGTTGAGGACTCCTTCAAGGGTGAAAGCAGCTTAACTTGTTGTAATACCTCCTCGATAGAGATATTTTTTGGAGTTATTGATAGAAACCCAAATTTATCCATTTTATATATAATGATGATACAATAAATAAAAATTATTTGCTTAACTCGACTTGCTATTAACTGCTTGATGGGGTTTTGGGGTTTTGGGGTTTTGGGG